TCATCTCTTCCTTTCCTTCTACTGATCAACAACATGTCTAATTCTAGATACTACTTTCTAAACAGATGTGTCAATGTTGTTTTTTCCTAATAAAAAAGGAAGGTGGCCTAACCCTTAAAGGAGAAGGACCAAGGCACTGGTCATTCAGCATATAAAACAGAAATAACGTTATCCTTAAACAACTATATTAAACAACAGGAGTAGCATAAAGCTGCATTCATGAGTGTTTGCAGAGTGTTTTGAACTACTTGATTAAGCAGCAGGCTATTAGTGAAAATTATGATTAATGAGACACTTGTAACAACAAAGCTCTCTCTGCAAATACTGCAACAGAAATAAATGAATAAATAAGTATGTAAGGAAAATTATTTTACACTGGCGTTTCTAAATTAATAATTAACTAATGAGGCTCCCCTGAAGGAGTATTTGGAAGATTTTTATCTTATAAAATTCCAAATGACAAAAAAGAACATGTTGCTCTATCATTTTTGGTTTTTGTGAACTGTCAAGATCCTACTGCTATTCTTGTTATTCTAAGGAATACACTAAAAACTGGTGAGAGAGATGTCAGAGATCAAGATGACGCGGGAGCCCCCTGGGATCAATACCTTTAATTGACTCTGAGCAATTCTGTTTACTCCAATTTGTTCCAAAAAGCAAGCTGGTGACTTTTCCATCCAGTTATAACACTAATGCATTAGAGAAAGAGAAAACATGGTCCTTCTCATCTATTATTTATAAGACAGAGTATGCACAGCTATCTGACATCTTTGTCATAGCTAATGAAAAATTGAAATACCTCAATTTTTGTAGCATCGCAGAAGAGATGAAGAAGCCCTTTTTGGTCTAATGGTCCACTTTTCTGCAGTGGGGGAGTGCTCTCTAACATACACAACCAAATAATTAATTGTATATAATTGCATATGTCCCACAGTGATGAGTTTTCCATAGCACTACGGTTGTGTGGGGGAAGTCGGTGCACACATAGTCTATGTGTACATACACATACCTTGTGCAAACATCAAACGACCAATATGATACCCAGAGAAGTGTTTAGTGTTGACAGAACAGAAGTAACCAAAGCACACTGGAAAGCACTTTAAGTCCTTCAGCTCACCAACCTAACGTGCTCTGGTGGATCCACGCCGTGCTAGTCCAGTGTTACTCCACAGTCCTGCGCCCGTGCTGAGCGCCAGGAAACGCTTCCCTTCACCCCAGCATGAACGAGAGGATAACGTGGTCAACATTACTTGTTAACACTCGGGCAGAGAGACTCCCCATCGCCCTGCCGTGCCAAAATCAGCAGTGCAGATATGGCCAGCACCTCCAAGTCCACCCTTGTGGAGTAGGAGAGAGGGGAGAGGCTGCTGCAGGGCTGGGGCAGGCCACGGGCGCTGCAGCTACAAAACCTTAATGAGAGCAGCTAAGAAGTGGTGATTCAAGGAGCAATTGGCCTGGAAGGGAGAAAAAAAGTGCAATATGGAGGGAGAAATCAGAGAAGGAAGTGACAGGTGATGGGGAAAGTGCAGGCAGTGTAAGGGAAGGACTGAGGGCACAGCGCTGCATTTTCCCTTCTCTCCCAACTGGTTTCTAGAGATTTCCCAGTGTTAACAATTTCTTTCATATGATTTGGTGGAACAGGACTCAGCGGCAGCTGGCGTCTCCTTGTAAAACACATCAGACCCACTCTGAAGTGACTATCATGTCTGCTAGGATCTCAGCTTACACTAGCTAAATACTGAAAGCAATTTTGCTGTTAACGCTGCAAAGTTCAAAGATGTGCCATATATAACAAATGAAGAGAGAGACAGGTAAATCAGCCTGTCCTAAAACAATTCTGTGAGGTGCAACACAATTCTGTGAGGTGCAAGCCGCTCCCTTTGCTTCAGGGAAGCTTTATCTAAAATCGTATTTAAATGCAAACGTTATTATTTCTGTCTTCATGGAAGGCCAGAGAAGTAAAGCTCACACCTTAACTATTTTCTGCCAGCTACATCTCATTTCAAATAGGTGGTGATTAGGATATGCAACTAATTATTGTATCATTCCCCAGTGAGAATAAAGAAGACAAATGTCAAAGTTGAGAGGAAGCTTGGGCACACTCGTGCCCTCCAGAGAGGTCACCAGATGAGCTCAAAACACCTCTCCCATCCTGTCCTGAGTATAAGCATCACCTGCCAGAAACACTGCCTTATTTTGGTTTCACCTGGATGAAGACAATTTCTGCAGGTAAGTTAGGGAAAGTAGCTAAGCCTTATTTATTTCTAGTCTGACCTTGGTGGCCGTACTTTTTTGTGCATACACCCATGTATGTCTGTTGATCCCAACAGCAAATCATGGATGTAGCTTGCTCCGCAGGCAGGGTGAGAGCTTCCTCATGCAGCTCTGTCCTTGCACCTCCATTCCAGTCAACAGCATACTTGCTAAACTAATTCAAAACAATGACTGTCTTCAAATGAGACAGTCAAAAAGAAGCAGAAAAGTGCAAGTAAACTAGACTACCTGTGTTTAAAGATGTCATTTAAGATTGCCCAAATGGGAACATGATCATTAAAAACACACTGATAAGAAAAATCTGAATACAATCTACAGAGAAAAGCTGGTGCACCAAATTAACGTGCAACTTATATTTCTTAGCTGAGGCATAAATAATTGCTGAATAACTGTGCGCATAACAAAAATATTGCTGAATTAATTAATGTAGATTTTGCTGTATTTGATCTTTTGGAAAATTTGATCCTTCTAGAAATCAGGCATGCATTATTTCACATATGTTTCAATTCCAGGAATTATTCTGAGGGTACATACAAACTGGGCAGCCAGACACTTACTGTTTAAACTTTGCAGCAAAATGCCCTTTTTGATTATAAAACCCTGCTTTTTTGTACATTTTAAATCAAAAAAATGATCCAATATTCTAGAAATTGAACTTTTGAGAATATAGTCCAAGGAGCCCTAAACCTTCTGAAGCACAATGGCTAGTAATTTAATTTTAGGCATGTGGTGTATCAGTTTTCCTGGAAGTGCCCCTGTCTCTCCACTGACTTTATAGGAAGCATTAGGCAATCTTGATCCTAACCTAGGCATCTTAGATGCTTCATATTACTTGGTATTAATCCAGGCCTTTTGCCCTAGATTCCTTAAAATTTTGTGTCTGAGAAACAGAAAACAAGAGAAAGAAAGAAAGTTTTCCAAATGACCCCAAAAATGCCAAATGTATTTTGATGTAACTTTGCTGAAAACAAAGAAAATACACAAGAACTGAACTTTGCCCAGTGTCTTCATGCAGCAGTAAGCAGTCTGTAAAACAATGTTACCTAATTAAGTTATGTTGTGGTCCTGCACATTTGCAGTATGGGCATGGAAATTCCCGATGTGGGATTGGGTTTTTGTATTTGTTTTGTATTTTTTTTGTGTTCGCATAACCCTAACGTGACAAATCAAGTGATTACTCATTTAATCTTTGGAAATACTGTTTCCAACCTAAGATGCGGCATGGTGTCAAGAGGGAGGCAGCCCTTAGAGGCAGGAGGAAGGGACAGGCAGGAAGGTGTCAGCACTGCCTCAGCGCTCACGTTCACTGCTGGAGTGCTCCTAAGGTATTTGGCTGTAAGCCCATTAAGGGCTAAACTGGGCCTCTTATAATACAGTTTTTGGTAGACGGCAATGAGAAGTTTTGCAAGTGAACAATGTCAAATGAGGACAACCCCAAAAGCAGTGCTGGAAAAACATCCCTGTGGGTTTCTCAGAGTGTGGGAGGCTCTGTCCTATGTCCCCACTGAGGGGATCAGTCTTAGAGGGACAGAAGCGCGTAGTTACTTGCACACATCAGTGTCAGGAACCGCAGTTTTGCCAGGTCCCAGAACAGATGCACAAAAGAAAGACTCTTTGCATCATCTGCTCTTCTTCCTTCAACTGCCGGCACAGCCTCCTCATCACAGCTATCCCTGCAGTTACCTACCCTGTTACTAGAGTGAGATCTCCCACAGCAGGGTAAGTACCAAAGCACAGCTGGAGAAGCCATCAAATAGATGATATTCTTTGTTTCACAGCAAATCACTGTCATATGCAGTATTTAGACAGATAACAGAGAAACTAATATTCTCATAAAATAACAAGGAAAATATTCATTACTTATTTTTTCACTCTGCTAGCATGCATAGTTTTAGATACAATAAAATATTTTCCCTTATTACTGAACAATTTGCTCAGAAATACAGTGTTATAAACTTCCTCTAGCTGTGCTTTTTAATTTGGTATCATGACTCCACTAGAACATTAGATCATACACAGAATAAAAAGCACCAAATCACCTGCCAAAGAACAAGACCCTGAATTCCCATAACAATAAATATTTACATTTAAAAATACATATACCTACTTCAATCAGAAACAGAAAAAAAGATACGAAAATGTTCATTCCTTTGCCTAATAAATCATACTGGGCATTCTTTCAGGAAGACCTACGTTAAGAGCAAGCCTCCCAAAGGTAACACGCAAGCCTAATGGAATTTCATAAGCTTTCTACAACTGCATACACCAGAAAAATCAAGAATAGGGCACTTGGCATGAAGTAAGCTTGTAGAGCAAATAATTGTGGGATCTTTCAAAATTAAGTCAGCCACTGTAGCATGAAAAAATGCATTGTGCGCCCTAGTGCTTGAAGGCAGTGCTGAAATTCAGAAAGAGGCCTTTGCACAGGGAGGGTACTGCAGCAATTCGCTAGCACATCTATAGAGGGGAACTCAGAGATGCCATTAGAAAAGGAGAAACGAGCGTGCAAAGTCGCATGCTTCACCCACCCTGCCAGCACACTGCAGCTCGTGAGGCACCCAAAAATCCGGTAGAGGCAATACAGTTATTTGGCTAGATACACTATGAAACGTGCCACAGCCAATGCTTTCTCCAACTGTGAGCCCTTAAAGCATCAGGATACCCATAAAACGTCTCCCACAAACAACTGCAGTGACCACAGGATCTGCTATTTCGCTTGTACTTACAGCATCGGCCAGGACAAAGCCCCTGTATTTAACTATTTCTTCATAAACTGCTTCCACATACTTGTCTGCTCATTGTGCCATTTCTTCCATTGGTTGCTTGTGTTTGACAGCATCTGGACTGCAAAATGATCCCCTTTCCCCGCTTTTGCAAAATCAGCAGGCTGCGGAGGGATGCGTGGCCGCTGCTGCAGCCTCAGTGGTATCCAAACAAGTCCAATGCAGCAGAGGCTTTAGCTCCCCCTTCCCAGCGTGGGTTTTTTCTTTCTTTCTTTTTTTTTTTTTAAAGAGATATGGTCCTGACTAATCTCAGGTTTCAGAAGCACAATACAAAACTGCAGGCACAGGCTATTTGTTGATTATAGAAGAATACCAAGTCAGAAGGCCAAAATAATACATTTTGAAGAGCCACGAGTCAAGGTACAACTTGTTTTTGAAGTAAATACTTCCTTCTGTAACAGATTAGGTTTTGTTTTTTGTGAGGGTTTTTTCATCAAGCTTATTTTCTGCCATTTCGCTGCATTAAATAATTTCGCTTTTTGCAATTTCTTTCAGCTTATGCAATAATGCTACCTGGTTTTCTATCTATTTCTCTCATGTTTGAACAATCCTGCTGTGTCTAAGAATGTCTGCATTAAAAATGTTCATGATTTGAGGAAGTCCCCTCCGAAAATCTCTCTGCATAGTAGCTTCAGTAAGTACCCTTACTGTTCTGCTTCTTCCCCCCTCATTTACAAATCGTGTGTAATGCTCATACTCTTCAGCTCTTCCTTAGATTAATTTCTTAGATGCAGATGACGTCATGACTCAGAAGTCTGCGTACTGCTGGGAGCGTCCTGAGCACGGTCCCTAACTTCCAAGTTGGCACAGGCAGCTGTTAGCGCTTACACATTTTCAAACTGAGTTCATTACGTACTTGACATTCATATTTCCATTCACATGATCACCTGTGCATGAAGCAGACTTCAGAACAATTGGGGAACTCACAGGCAAGCCTGAATGGAAACAACGGTTGGAGCATTTAGGGCATTGCTAAGTTTTTTATCCTTTCGCCTGTTAGCGGCCCATGTGAACTTGTGAAATTTTACTCCAAGGAAAACTAAGAAACCAACCGGTCTTTTGAGGGCATGGCTGGTCCTGCTGCTGCTCCTGCCGGACCAGCTGCTTTGAATTCCCCTGACGATGCAGACTGCTGTCCATCCTCACAGCCTGCCGCCACAAACACATCCTTCCCACCTTGCTCAGCTACCATTTAAAATAGTATGCTAATATAGTACTTTATAAGAGCTTCAGCACTGGCCGCAAGTATGGCATTAGGGTTTTCTAAGGAGTCTGGAGCTCTCTTTCCCCTCTGCAGTCCTTGGCTGCACTGAAGATGCACCAGAATTAGCTTGTCTACAGGGTAACGCCTGCAAAGGTACAAAAAACAAGTACTGACCGGAAAAAACCACAGCGCTATTGCAGCTTAGTACTGACAGAGGACTCCTCCTTAGAGGACTCCTGCTCTTTATTATGACTCTGCTGGTTTTGGTTAAAAAAATCTATTTTCCTGCCAAGGAGCTGAGGCTGATGTTTTTCATGTTCAAGTTTAAAGTAATGCTGAAAACATTAAGAAGTGTCCGAAGAATTGTATATAAGGATATTAACCTTCCAAAGAACAGAAGCCTATTCCTTTATGTTTTCATGTAAAAGTATGTCCAATAATAAGTGAAATTATTTGTGTTACGGCAAGGCTTAACGTTTACTTACAAGCAGTTTACTGGAGGAGGCCAACATCCTCGTATTCAGAATGCTATTTATGAAAGGTCACAAGGCACGGAGAATAGCTAAGCAACAAAATTGGCTCCACAATATTGCCTTTTGTAGCACAGAGATCAGGAAAAATACATTTTTCCAGTGATCACATCTCAGCTTTACCAAAGTTCACGTCGGCTGCAGTAAGAAATCCTCTCTGAGTTCAAGTAAACAAAAGGGCATTGTAACTAGGCAGACCAGACTGTTTAGCCATGAAAACATGCAGTGCCAGCCTCCAAAACATTGCCCCGCTGTATAAGCTCCTGCAGCACAATGATCTCACGCAGCTGTCTCCTTGCTCCTAAGTTTAGCTGCTTAAAGCATCGGTGCTAACGTGGAGGAAAGCTGAGAGCGATCGATGCCTTGCTGGCCAAGCAGGACACGCACGTGGGCTCCAACTGCCCAGGGCTGCGCGGAGCTGCTGGGTCAGTAGGATACCATCAGCCCTGCTTGTCAATACTGAGCCTGAGAGCAGAGGAAATCCATACAGGGGATGGGAATCAGGACATTGGAAATATTGCAGGGATAGGAGGCGACCAAAGGCAGAGAGGGGTGGGGATGGGGGGGGGGGGGGGGATATTGAAAAGAGAGTGCTTAAGAAATATTCTCTCCCAAATCCTTAAATCCTTTCTAAGCAGCAGACATGAATAGTCCTCCTTTGAAATTCTCTTCCTACGGTGAAAAAATAGATCGGGAACTATTAGTGCTCCCACCAATCTTCTTACAGCAGAACGTGAGCTGAGGGTAGTCTTTTGTCTAAGAGCTTACACTGAAAGAGCAGCTGGGCTTCCGGAGGAAGCAGGTGAAGAGAGAATTTCCCCTCTAGGGAAATTTTAAAACACAGACAAAAATAAATATTTGATTGATGAATTCAGCATCCCAGTTGTGACAATCATAATAAAATTAGAAGCCTTGTTGACACTACTGAGTCTCGTATAACCAGCATAACAGCTGACAGAAGTTAAGTGCAGCTAGCTGCTCAGATGGATCACCAAAAGGTGAACCAGATCACCCTCAGCTTCAGCTCATCAGCAGAAGGCTATGAACCTTATAATGTTCATCCAGCTCCCTAAGTCAGGACCATAACTCTTGTTTCTCTGCCTCTTCATCTCCCTCCTCCCTAAAGAGGGTCTCCAGACACTACTGCCTGCTCTCCCTCCTCTGCTGTGGGACATGTCAAGGGCACCCCCCCAAGACTGCACTGCTGCTGATTAGCAGGGACAGCCACTTGCAGGCGCTCACTCTGTGGCACACTCCAGATATCATCAATCATCTGGTGCATGGTAAATCCTTCACGCAAGCTCCTCCTCTGGGGTGAACGCTTCCACGTAACAGTTAATACACACCAGACGATGCCCCGCACCATGGGGGTGGTTCAGCACTTGGCTAAGGTTGCCCCGAAAGGCTATGGAGCCTCCTTCCTGGAGCTGGACACTCAGCCAGGCAGAGCAACATGATGGAGCTTTAAGTCAGCCCAGGAGGTTAGACTGGAGACCTCCAGAGGTCCTTTCCAATCTGAGTTTTGCTATGCTACATTGCTGGCTAGGAGGGAATGAAAAGAGCATATTTACCTGGCCAAAAAAACGTTACCAAGGGACTCCAGATACCCACTATGTCTCAGGCTAGCTCGGTCCATTGCCTATCGCCCACCTCCTTGCCCCTGCAATGACAATACTCTATTCTTGCACTCTTGCACCTATTCTTATGCTCTCTTGTTCTTGTGCTTTGCCTTCCTCTCACATGGCACTCCTGGTGTCGACGTTCCTAGGCACGTGACACCTACCGTATGGAGGGACAGGCCTCAAAACGTAATCCTCCACTGCCTCTGAGAGGCTTGCAGCCTCTCAGTGCCCCATGGCTGTGGTGAGGTGGAGGAGTGGAGGGAGAGGGCTGAAGTCACAGGAGGCACCGCGGGGCCAGGCGGCTAAAACATGGCCTTACCCAGCCAGTCCCCACGCCGTGTGGCTGCAGCGGTCCAGGCCAAACAAACTGTTTCATAGGCCACATGCAGCCCACAGTCCTTGCAAATTACCATGATGATGGGAGCTGAAATCTTGCTTAAATTGCAATATATTTCATGTAGGTAATACAGCCAGTTCAGAAGTTATGCGGGAGTTTTAACTTTGTGGAGAATCTCCAGAGAAGAGGTTACCCAGCTGTTATGGGAAATATGAAACAAAATTCAAAATCTTAACCACAGTTAATTTTTGTAAGAAGAGCTGTAATTCATAAACAATCTGATTAAATTTTTCCAGGCATTGCAAGATAGCTCTCCTCAGCTGTCTGAGTAAACCTGGCAATTTCCTGTTTAATCAACCTTCCCAGCCCCATACATTCCCAGCCTCAAATTAAAGGGGATAAAAATACGACTTGGACATAAAACTTTCTTGCAAAATCAATCTTTTAGTGACATGAGCTATATAAGATTTAGTGGGCTCTTTGAAGTGCATGAACATTCAACAAATAACTAACCAGTGACATTTAAAGATAAATAGAATTGTTAATTTCTTAAAATATCAGCAATCGTTAGGTTTTTCACTATATGGAGTAACGTGTCTAGGATTGTATTAGTTATATGCTGTAGTAAGATCGTACAGCATGCTGTAATACTTAGATCAACAAACATTTTAACACAGTGCATTCCATGTGTTCGAAGTGACTCACGTGTAGTTTAAAGGGGTAACAGGGAAAAGAAGTAGGAAAAAAGAGAAGAATAATGGTAGGAAAGAGGCTATTGAACAGGAAGTATCCAGCACAGTGAGTGCAAAGACTCCCAAGGCTGATCCTTTTTTAAATTAAAACGGTGATTTCTGCATTTTGTAAGTTATCAACTTGAACATAGACCTATTGTTAGCCTTGTTAAAAAGACAGAAATATTAAGAATGAACAGTTCTAGCCTGTGATCCACGGTGATCAGAACACCATTTTGCCTAGGCTATTAGTGCCATAAAAATTATAAAGCCAGTTAGGCCAGGCCAGTGCCTGGGTGATTAAAATACCAGCCATGTCTTCAATAGACGGAATGATTAGGATGTTGCCAGCCCATGCTATTGATGTTAGTACCACTGATGATATGGAATAGTGTAGTTCTTTGAGAATTTACTTTAGACTTGGATTAGCTCGACATGCTGCTTTCTCATTAATTGCACTTTCATTGAAGTGTATATATATGCATGTTACAAATATTTGTGGAAACATAAGAAAAAGGTGTTTTGATGTATTTGCACCACCATGACAACTGAAAATTTAACTTATCAACTGTGTAGGGGGAGTCATGAAAAGACTGCAGTATCGAGTAGTGAAATTAAAACAACGATCATGATGTATTCACCCTCTAACTAAAACATAAATGCCAGCTCTGTCAGTCCATGGCATGCAGCCCAGCCAGAGCTGTGCAATTTGGCTGACCGCGTTTACACA